GTCGAATTGTGGAAGTCAACGAATGGCTATGCAGGTGGTGTCGGAGAGAAGGCTTTGGATTCTTTGACCACAGGATGGTGTTCCAGGAAGGAGGAGTGCTAGGCAGAGACAGGCTCCACCTAATGAAGAGAGGGAAGAGCATCTTCGCAAGCAGGCTGGCTAACCTAGCAAGGAGGGCTTTAAACTAGGTTCACCGGGGGAAGGAGACCAAAGCCCGGAGTTAAGTGGGGAAGTGGGATACTGGGAGGAAGCACGAGCAGGAGCGTGCGAGAGGGGAGGGCTCCTGCCTCATACTGAGAAAGAGGGATGATCAGCAAGTTATCTTAAGTGCCTATACACAAATGCAAGAAGCCTGAGAAACAAGCAGGGAGAACTGGACGTCCTGGCACAGTCAAGGAATTATGATGTGACTGGAATAACACAGACTTGGTGGCATAACTCACATGACTGGAGTACTGTCATGGATGGATATAAACTGTTCAGGAAGGACAGGCAGGGCAGAAAAGGTGGGGGAGTTGCACTGTATGTAAGGGAGCAGTATGACTGCTCAGAGCTCAAGTATGAAACTGCAGAAAAACCTGAGAGTCTCTGGATTAAGTTCAGAAGTGTGAACAACAAGGGTGATGTCGTGGTGGGAGTCTGCTATAGACCACTGGACCAGGGGGATGAGGTGGATGAGGCTTTCTTCCGGCAACTCACGGAAGTTACTAGATCGCAGGCCCTGGTTCTCATGGGAGACTTCAATCACCCTGATATCTGCTGAGAGAATAATACAGTGGTGCACAGACAATCCAGGAAGTTTTTGGAAAGTGTAGGGGATAATTTCCTGGTGCAAGTGCTGGAGGAACCAACTAGAGGCAGAACTCTTCTTGACCTGCTGCTCACAAACCGGGAAGAATTAGTAGGGGAAGCTAAAGTGGATGGGAACCTGGAAGGCAGTGACTATGAGATGGTCCAGTTCAGGATCCTGACACAGGGAAGAAAGGAAAGCAGCAGAATACCTGGACCCTGGACTTCAGAAAAGCAGACTGACTCCCTCAGGGAACTGATGGGCAGGATCCCCTGGGAGAATAACATGAGGGGGAAAGGAGTCCAGGAGAGTTGGCTGTATGTTAAAGAATCCTTATTGAGGTGACAGGGACAAACCATCCTGATGTGTAGAAAAAATAGTAAATATGGCAGGCAACCAGCTTGGCTTCACAGTGAAATCCTTGCTGATCTTAAACGCAAAAAGGAAGCTTACAAGAAGTGGAAGATTGGACAAATGACCAGGGAAGAGTATAAAAATATTGCTCGGGCATGCAGGAGTGAAATCAGGAAGGCCAAATCACACCTGCAGCTAGCAAGAGATGTTAAGAGTAACAAGAAGGGTTTCTTCAAGTATGTTAGCAACAAGAAGAAAGTCAAGGGAACTGTGGGCCCCTTACTGAATGAGGGAAGCAACCTAGTGACAGAGGATGTGGAAAAAGCTAATGTACTCAATGCTTTTTTTTGCCTCTGTCTTCACGAACAAGGTCAGCTCCCAGACTACTGCACTGGGCAGCACAGCATGGGGAGGAAGTGACCACTTCTTTCTCCACAGAGGGCTGGTTCGGGACTATTTAGAAAAGCTGGACGAGCACAAGTCCATGGGGCCGGATGTGCTGCATCCGAGAGTGCTAAAGGAGTTGGCGGATATGATTGCAGAGCCATTGGCCATTATCTTTGAAAACTCATGGTGATCGGGGGAAATCCCGGACGACTAGAAAAAGTCTAATGTAGTGCCCAACTTTAAAAAAGGGAAGGAGGAGGATCCTGGGAACTACAGGCCAGTCAGCCTCACCTCAGTCCCTGAAAAAATCATGGAGCAGGTCCTCAAGGAATCAATTCTGAAGCACTTAGAGGAGAGGAAAGTGATCAGGAACAGTCAGCATGGATTCACCAAGGGCAAGTCATGCCTGACTCTCATCTAATTGCCTTCTATGTCGAGATAACTAGCTCTGTGGATGAGGGGAAAGCAGTGGACGTGTTGTTCCTTGACTTTAGCAAAGCTTTTGACACTGTCTCCCACAGTATTCTTGCCAGCAAGTTAAAGAAGTATGGGCTGGATGTATGGACTATAAGGTGGATAGAAAGTTGGAAAGATTGACGGGCTCAACGGGTAGTGATCAATGGCTCCATGTCTAGTTGGCAGCTGGTATCAAGTGGAGTGCCCCAAAGGTTGGTCCTCAGGCCGGTTTTGTTCAATATCTTCATAAATGATCTGGAGGATGGTGTGGATTGCACCCTCAGCAAGTTTGCAGATGACATAAAACTGGGAGGAGAGGTTGATTCGCTGGAGGGTAGGGATAGGATACAGAGGGCCCTAGACAAATTAGAGGATTGGGCCAAAAGAAATCTGATGAGGTTCAACAAGGACAAGAGCAGAGTCCCGCACTTAGGACGGAAAAATCCCATGCACCACTACAGACTAGGGACCGAATGGCTCGGCAGCAGTTCTGCAGAAAAGGACCTAGGGGTTACAGTGGACGAGAAGCTGGATATGAGTCAACAGTGTGCCCTTGTTGCCAAGAAGGCCAATGGCATTTTGGGATGTATAAGTAGGGGCATTGCCAGCAGATCGAGGGACATGATCATTCCCCTCTATTCGACATTGGTGAGGCCTCATCTGGAGTACTGGGTCCAGTTTTGGGCCCCACATTACAAGAAGGATGTGGAAAAATTGGAAAGAGTCCAGCGGAGAGCAACAAAAATGATTAGGGGACTGGAACACATGACTTATGAGGAGAGGCTGAGGGAACTGGAATTATTTAGTCTACAGAAGAGAAGAGTGAGGGGGGATTTGATAGCAGCCTTCAGCTACCTGAAGGGGGGTTCCAAAGAAGATGGAGCTAGGCTGTTCTCAGTGGTAGCAGATGACAGAACAAGGAGTCATGGTCTCAAGTTGCAGTGGGGGAGGTTTAGGTTGGATATTAGGAAAAACTTTTTCACTAGGAGAGTGGTGAAACACTGGAATGTGTTACCTAGGGAGGTGGTGGAATCTCCTTCCTTAGAAGTTTTTAAGGTCAGGCTTGACAAAGCCCTGGCTGGGATGTTAGTTGGCGATTGGTCCTGCTTTGAGCAGGGAGTTGGACTAGATGACCTCCTGAGGTCTCTTCCAACCCTGATATTCTATTCTAAAGACAAATTATAAAGTTTCTCTTCCTCAAACTCCATGTTCAGGTGGATTTTGCCACCTAATACTGTGGTAGCTCCAGGAACTCTGTCTTCTGGTGTATCATTATCATAAAGAACAACCAAAACTTCAGACATATAACCATCTGAGCTGAAAACCAACACTTTGCCAGGGAAGTAATAGCAGCACTCATGCAACCCAGCTGCTAAGAAATATCAACACCCAAACTATTATGCTGGCCCCTCCTCAGCACTCAAGCCTTACCTCCTCCCTCATTCCACTGTCTCCCAGAGCTGTGTCTAAAGATAGCAGGGCAGAAGCTGTACTATTGCAAATGTCACCATTCCACTGTTTGCTTTAATATATACTTTGAAATGAACAAAGATTGGCAGGCACACCTGTTTTTACATGCAGATGTGATCACAAGTATTTAAGAAAAACTTTAATGCCCAAAATCTGCTCTCATTCACAGAAATCTATAAGGTTGGACATGGATGTTGGAAAGCAGAATTTATCCTTAACTTATACATTTAATATACTAAAATATAACTTTAGATCTTATTTAAGAGTCTGTTTCTAAATGTCTATAGTCTTATAATATTTTACACTTAGGTGCACCTTTCATCATAAAGGAACCTAAAATCCTTCATCAATTATGTACATGACATACAACAGCAGAGAAGTGCAGCCACCTTTGAGGTTTGGCATGTGACAAAACAACAACATTCAGTACACTACACAACAGTAAGTGATGTCCATTTTTACCAAGGACACTGCGGCAAACCAGTATTTTTATGGAAAATGCCAAGGTGTTTTTACTTTATTTATCTTGGTATTTATATGCCCATTACAGTGGTATCTGAGCACCTCACAAAGATTATAGGTAATGGATTTATTCTGTAACAACCCTATAGGGAATTTATTATCCCCAATGTACTGACTCAGTGTGTCCGGGGTCCCAGTGGGGAGCCAGCTGAGGTCACTCAATTAGGGTGAACTGCAAAGAATGGGGTAGACAATCCCCATAAAGCTGGTGAATATTCCAATACTTAGATTCACCAAGCCAGCATAAAACAGCTTCTTTATTACCTTAAAAAGAAAAGGAGTACTTGTGGCACCTTAGAGACTAACCAATTTATTTGAGCATGAGCTTTCGTGAGCTACAGCTCACTTCATCGGATGCATACTGTAGAAACTGCAGAAGACATTATATACACAGAGACCATGAAACAATACCTCCTCCCACCCCACTCTCCTGCTGGTAATAGCTTATCTAAAGTGATCATCAAGTTTAGATAAGCTTTAGATAAGCTTATCATCACTTTAGATAAGCTCTTACCAGCAGGAGAGTGGGGTGGGAGGAGGTATTGTTTCATGGTCTCTGTGTATATAATATCTTCTGCAGTTTCCACAGTATGCATCCGATGAAGTGAGCTGTAGCTCACGAAAGCTCATGCTCAAATAAATTGGTTAGTCTCTAAGGTGCCACAAGTACTCCTTTTCTTTTTGCGAATACAGACTAACACGGCTGTTACTCTGAAACCTGTCTTTATTACCTTACTGGTTACTCAGAAGTCCAGACAACACAGTGATCCTTAGAGTGATCCAGCCTCAGGCTTCCATCCAGGTACCCACATCAAACGTGATGAAAATTTCTGCAAATCTTTATTTCATCACATAAAAGAACAGGTTCTACCAATCCCAAAGGATATGACACATTACCTCCCAAGCTAATAATGAATGTTTCAGACCTTACCCAAATACACGCTACAGCCAATTCTTACTAACTAAACTAAAATTTATTAAAAAACAAAAGAGAGTATGGTTAAAAGATCATTATACATACAGACATGAGTTCAATTCATTGGGGTTCAGATTGATTGAAGAGATGGTGAGCTTTGTAGTTGCAAAGAGTTCCTTTAGTATTCAGTTTATAGATCATAGTCCAACGTCCAAAGCTCATATTCAGGGCATACCAGCATAACTGGGACCTCAGTCTTGTGACTCAAACTTCCCCTGATGAAGTCTAAGCAGATCTGAGATGACAGAACCAGGACCCAAGGATCTTTTATACAATTTCATGTTTGAAAAGTTGGGATTTCCTCCAGCAACAAAAGGTAATTAGGATGACTTTGAAGGAGGTCCATCACTGGTACTTAGCTATAGGAATTAGCATAAGGCCATTTGCTTGTTCCTCCACCATTCACAGTACATTTCAAAGAGAGATGAATTCCGAGATATCCCAGTTTACAATTCATTTAAACGATAGGATCTTCTTTTGACCTCTGAATTATCAGAATACAGCATAGACAGGGACTGTTGATTACATTGTCAACCCTACTCATACATATATAAATACACAAAAACACAAACATTATCTCCCTACATGTCTTTTGAGCGTTATTTATTTTGCAGCAATAAGGCTGATATGTTCTATATTTATGGTAATAAGCATGAACCATTATACACAAATATGACTTTATATTACAGAATAAATTAAGCTACTGAAGAAGCCGTAAACCAACTAAGTCTTAATCACATTCTTTTTTCAATATTTACTCATATAAAAATATGATGGATTTATGACTCTTCCTTTTTAATATACAGTACCAAAGATAATGACACTTTACAGATAAACTGTGGAATACTAACTTTAGTATTGTCATTGAACTGATCTTTTCAGACGTCTATAAACATATCTCAGAGTATTGTTACATTTCAAGAACAGAAGAGAACATAATGCAGCTGCGGACACAATGCCTATCCTGCAATGAGAGGTACTGGTTTAAATATTATATACTATAGTCAATTTAGAATACATGTTAAAGCTAAAGGAAAAATAAATTCGATATAGTTATAACATTTTTATTGTCAAGTGTAATATATTCTTATGTCTGTACAAACAGGTTCTGTCCTTTGAAGTTTGTGATATCTAAAGATTTGAGATGTAAATCCTAGCTGAATTTGCAAATACGTATTGGCCCAGTAACCATAAACTTGAAGCAGAACATGTAAAACATTTAAATAAACAATAACACATAGTATGTGAGGTACCCCACAGTGAACAGCAAAATAATGGTATAATTACAGAATGATCCTATTCTCTCCCCTGCCCAGCAGTGAACGCAATGGGAAATTTCCAAGTACATTTTCCTATTGTCCTTTCCAGACCATTTCTGAATGCTCCATGCAATGAAGCTTCTAACATTCCCTATCCCAGCTTAGTTGGTATTACTGTCAAATATTTTTTCCTGAAGATTTCTTTAATTAATTTCATCCATCACTCACAGGGTGGAAACTGCTGAAAACTTTCCATTAAAAGAAAATAGCAGACATCCACCATTTTAATAATTATTTCTCTGCAAATTTCCAACATCCCTACTTTTGAGTAAAAACAAGTTAGGATGCCTTAAAGTAGATTTACACTATGGGTCTTTCTCGTTTTATTTAGCTCAATAGAAAAATTGAAACTGAATAAACAACGAGGAGTCCTTGTGGCACCTTAGAGACTAACAAATTTATCTGGGCATAAGCTTTCGTGGGATATAACCCACTCCACTTATATCCCATGAAAGCTTATGCCCAAATAAATTTGTTAGTGCCACAAGGACTCCTTGTTGTTTTTACTGATACAGATTAAGATGGCTACTCCTCTGAAAACCGAAACTGAATAGAAAACACCAGTGTACAGATGCCTTAGGGCTCCGAATGTTGCTAACAGGAATGGTGATAAACCAGTGTTAGTAATGGAACGACATTTTTTGAACATTTCCTTAGAGTAGTTCGTACTAGGGTGAAGTATGCACCAAAAATAATAGAGGTGAGGGATTTACTTAAATGATTTATCTGTATTACAGTAGCATCTAAAGGCCTCATTGTGCTATATGCTGTATTGTACTATGTCTTTGTTGTGGAGAAGATGGATGATTCAATGATTAGAGCACTAACCTAGGACTTGTGAGCATCAAGTCCCTTCTCTGCCACACACTAGCTGGATGACCAGGCGCAAGTCACTTAGGGCAGTAATTCTCAACCTTTCTAGACTACTGTACCCCTTTCAGGAGTCTGATTTGTCCTGCGTATCTTAAGTTTAACCTCATTTAACTTGCTACTTGCTTACAAAATCAGACATAAAATACAAAAGTGTCACAGCACACTATTACTGAAATATTGCTTTCTCATTTTTACCATATAATTATGAAATAAATCAATTGGAATAGAATATTCAGTGTACAGATCAGTATAAACAACTCATTGTATGAAATTTTAGCTTGTACTGATTTCACTAGTGCTTTTTCTGGAGCCTGTTGTAAAACTAGACAAATATCTAGATGAGCTGATGTACTGGATGGAAGCCTCTGTGTACCCCCAAACCACTGATCTAGGGAACAGAGGCACAGAGAGGTTATCTATAAAAAGGAGATAATGGCATTTCCCTACCTCACAGGAATGTTGAGGCTAAACATATTAAAGAGTTGAGGCACTTAGACACCACAATGACCCTTGTGAGTACCACAGACTGACGTGTATAAAGTTTTGCCTACCTTAAACTTTAGGATTCAGCATTTCTATGCCGTTTTGCAGCCAGAAAAGTGAAACAGCAGCAAGCTGGCAAGGGCAAAAGACAAAACTGGGGTTAAACTGCGGGACGCTCTTCCGTGTGTAAACAGGGAGATGTGAGGAGGGACAGTAATCAGAAAAGCGGTGGCTTTTACCGGCTGTAAAGTCACCAAGAAGTAAAGCTACGTGCTGACAAGACTGGCTTTCCAGGCAAGTCAACGTTTGAACAGCTCCCCACGCTCCGTGCAGGTGCAGGCCGGCCCAGCAGACTCGCTGCTCAGAGGGGGAGACCGCCCCCGGGCTCAGCTGTTAACTGGAGCCCGAACTGCGCCGCAGCTCGTGGAAGCCCCTCCAGCCCCGACGCCAGCCTGCAACCGGGACAGGGACAGGGACAGGGACGGGGGGAAGGGGAGGGGGCTCGGGGCAGGAGCCCGCCCCCCTCGGCTCTGGCTGCCCTTTGGATGGTCCAAGGGCCAGTCAGCGGACTCCCGCTGTCCAAAGTTCGGCGCGGAGCTAGAAGGCTCCGGAGTTGAGCGGGGCGGTGGCCGATGGTGCTGAGGAGCCGGGCTCGCTGCCCCGTGAGTGCGGCTGGGGCCTGAGGAGGGAGAGTTGTGGGCCGTGTGGGGGCGAGACTGGGGAAGGGAAGGCGGGCGGTGGCTGGGAGGGGGGGAGCCCCGGAGTGCGCTCGCCTCACCCCCCACCCGGGCCGAGCCTCAGCCGGGAGCTCGGTTCGCGCCGGGTGCTGGAAAGGCTCTGGGCGGGGGCGGGGAACTTCCCTCAGCTTCATTCCCTGCCCCCCCCGCCTTTGGCCGAGCAGCGCCGGCAGAGGCGCTTCATGGGGTTCAACCTGCCTCGTGGCAGCGGCGTGGCCATGCTCTGCCTGCTCCTTCACTGGCCTACATGGGGGGCTTCCCCCTCCCCCCTGCGTTGGGCCTCTCCTGCCCCCCTGCAGCTCCATGAAACTTACAGGCGTTCATGTGATAGCGACGCGTTTTACCGGACCGTCTTGTCGTTTGTGCTGGCTGAAGGTAAAGGCTCCCCAAAAGCAAATGGAACTAGGCCGATTTTCGGCAGCTTGTTGGGAGTCTGGCCCCCATGTTTACTTTATATTAAAAGGTTTCTCTAGTGCATGAGTCACTTGCTTATGGGCCCTCGTCTGGGTGGGTAGGTTTGAACACAGACTTTTAAATACTGCAGAAACACTTTAAATGAAAGGATCCTGCCATATGTCCTTAAACAAATTAACTTCAGCTACTAGCAAAATTGCTGAGAAAATTATCTAAAATGTTTCCATAGACATTCATTTAGCTGTGTTTAATATCTCACCCTTAGGTTGGAATGGAAAAAGAAAGGCAAGTCATACTTCTTGCAGAGGGTTAACCACTAGGTAATACTATTAATGGAAGTATTACAAGAGTGAAGATAAACATCCAGGAAAACTAAACCACGATACTTTTGAGATGAGTCACAGTAAAACAGTATCTATGTTCTAACAAATCTTTGGTGAAAGTGGGTGAACTTTACATAATTACCCCTGAGAACCTTCTTCTGACCCTAACAAAATCTGAAAGGAATTTATTTTCAACAATAATAAAGATCTCAATATGCCTCTCCTATATAGTCCAATACGGTATAAGGAGATTTGGGTCATTCCCCACAAACCGAAATAGGAATTTGTATGGCATTCTATTTGAGGGATTAACAAGATAAAAGCAATGAGAACTGTGTATATTGGATTTAGATTAAGAATCATGGGACTTTTCCATGCCCACGCTAGCACTCAGATTTATTTGAATGCCTTGGTCTCCGTCTGTAAGCTGCTGTCTCACTTCCATCTTGACCTTTCTGGTGTCATAGTTCATTTTCTCTGGTCAGGGATTTCCAACAGTGATTAACCTTATTTAAGAAACTTGAAGTTGCAATATCTAAAATAAAACAGGTCTAGTTTCAATACAGAAAGCAAAACAAACAAACAAAAAACCCATGAAATGTAAATTAGAATTTAAACTGTGTTAAACTAACAGTGAAACCTATACCAGAGATCGCTCTCTGTATTCAGACGGTTTCCCTAAAGGTCTCTGCCCAAACGCATCCTCTGAGAAAAGAAGTACACCTCTGTTCCCCCTCTTAGTAACAAATATGTATTGGTTCCTTGAGCAATTATTTAAAACAGGTTTAATCCTACTACAAAAAACCTCCACAGCTAATAGGGCATATAGCTTATATTAGAGTTTTGAATAACAGTGAAACTTCATTGTATGGAAATGATTTGACCTGTTACTATTCTTGTATAACCTGCTCTTGGATGAGTGTGTTATCAGCTGCAGTTAGTTTCTTAGGAGGTATTTGTTTAGCCCTTTTAGGTGGGTACTATATTCTCTGAAACCAGACTCTCCACAGGTTTTGAGGTGTTGGACTGGATTCTCCCTGGTTAGGGTTAGACTTCAAGCTCCACCTTTTGTACTGTTGCTGAGAAATCATGAGTGATCATCTACAACTAAATGGTTCTGGAAGATTGCAGCCGGTTCTAGCCTCCCCAGGAAGTAGCATTCTCTGTTTTGAAATAGAGGTTTAATTATTCCCTGGCTTCTCTTTGGTCACCCATTACTGGAGACTCCTTACAAACCTGTGTTAGAGACTACCCTAATTACATATATAAACTGGGGTTGGAGAGGAGATTCACCAGCCAGGGTAGTCAAAATAAAGCCCAAACTTTTAATTTCAGTTTCATGCCTCTTTCCTCAAGGCCAGTTTTATTCATAAACAGAAGATGCAAAAGATGTCAGAGTAATAGAAAACACTGGATAGCAGAAGCCTGTTCCACTTTCTACAAGCTTGGCTGGGACAAAACATACCCTTTTCCCCCTTCATAGCCCCTTGCAGCTACTCCAGGCCACCTGCTTCAATAAGCTTACCCCCAATCTCCTCTTTCTCAAAGTGACTCACATGCATTCTTTTAAAAGTCTCCAGCAGGCAGTCACATGCTTGATCAGCTGACCTATCTCCCTCATGTATCCTGCCTGGAGACTACAACTCTCAGAATCTTCCATTCTCCAGGGATTTACTCCTGTAACATGTACTGGCCATATCTGTAATTACATGTAAGCATTCTGTTACAAACCTCCTGCCATAAGAGACTGACACAAAGTCTCCTCAAATATGCTACACACGGTTCCAATCCAACTCTATTAGAAAATCTATCTCGAAAAGCTATGGATTGTCAGTATCTTTGGTAGTTGAAAACAGGTTTCAGGTTATACCTGTAAATTATACACAGCACAAGACCCATGGCTGACCTAACAGCAGCTATAATAGGCGTGATTCTCCTCCTTTACATTGATGTAAATCTGATGTACAGGTTTGCTGACTCACACTCTTTATCATGAGTCTCACAATATTTAGTGTTTTTCTTAAATTCCCAGATGATGGAGGAAAGAACACCTACAATTTTATTATTCTCATGACTTTTGAACAATTGGGATTAGTAATACCGGGAGTAATGGAATTACATTGATCTAAAACTAGTGTGAACAAAGGAGATTGTGGCCTGCTGTTTCTTGCCAAACGACCTGTTCTCTGTAGCTATTCCACCCTGTCTTGTAACATCTGCAAGAGCAGGCCTGTCTTCCTATGGTTTTCAGACCCCTATTAAATACAAGGGCTATATTATATCCATATATATCTACATGGACTGGGCATTAGGGTGGGAATCAAGACACATGGATTCCATTCTTAGGGTCAGCTATTGCCTAGCTGTGTGACCTTTAGCAAATCACTTCTCTGTGCCTCAGTTCCCCCTTAGGCAAACTGGGAGTAGTTATGCTTAGCTATCTCTAAAAAATGTTAATAAAAACAGATAAGCATTTTGAATAAACTAACACATTTAGGTGGACTGCATATAATGCAAAAAACAATGCTAATCAACTGGCATTAAACTGCTTGCATATAAAGAATAACAAAGCAGCATGTTGCAATAAAATAAATGTTTACTGTCATGCTGGCACTGCAGTTATCTATTTGGATAGCCATATAGTTAATGTGGATGCCAGCTTTGCTTTAAAATGATGCATCAAAATTTTAGGCCACATGTTGCAGTCCTTTATGATTGAACTAGATGCATCATAATACATTTTTAAGATCTTTTTTGTGTTCTAGGACAAGATATTTGATGCTGCATTGTATGGGACAAGAAGTTCTTAAAAAGAGAAGACACATATAAGAAAGGATGTCTCATTTAATCAAAGGAGTTAAAAAATGTTATGGTCCTTCTATCAGTGAAATGCACAAAGTAACAGGATTTCCATTTAAACCACCCCTACTCAAAAGCTTATTAGCCTACAGTGGGCAAAAATTAAAAACTTCACGTACATGTTCTAAACTTAGTTCTGAAAATGCAGATTCTTACAGTTACATCATAGTTGGAGCTGGATCGGCAGGGTGTGTATTAGGCAGCCGATTGACTGAAGATCCCCTTAGTACTGTTTTACTTTTGGAAGCAGGCCCTAAAGACACCCTTCTAGGTAGTAAAAGATTAATGTGGAAGATTCATATGCCTGCTGCATTAACCTATAATCTTTGTGATGAAAAATATAATTGGTATTACCACACAACACCACAAAAGCACATGGATAATCGAATTATGTACTGGCCCAGAGGTAGAGTGTGGGGTGGCTCCTCATCTCTCAATGCTATGGTGTACATTCGGGGGCATGCAGAAGACTACAATCGATGGCATAGAGAAGGTGCTGTGGGATGGGACTATGAATTTTGCTTGCCTTATTTTAAGAAGGCACAGACCCATGAGCTGGGTCCTAACCTATACAGAGGTGGGAATGGACCGTTGCATGTGTCAAGAGGAAAGACGAACCATCCTCTTCATCATGCATTCCTGGATGCAGCCCAGCAGGCTGGCTATTCTTTCACAGATGATATGAATGGTTACCAACAAGAAGGATTTGGCTGGATGGATATGACTATACACAGAGGTAAACCTTAAAGAGTTACTTTGGGAGTGTATGTATCTAACCTATAAATGGTATTTAAGGGTCAATCTATTTTCCATTGAATTCAATGGGAGTATTTTCATTGACTTCAAAACATTTCTTCCCTTAGAAAGGAGAGAGGATTTCATAATGCTGCTATCAGCTGTTTGCATTCATTCCTTTAGTCCTTAAATTTAAAGCTCTTTCTTCTGAATGATAAATGTGGCACCCCACTCTAATTTCTGTATAGGAAGAAAGACAAGAAAATACCTTGAAAATGAAGGCACATGAACTATTTTGGTGCTTGCAGATGTTAAATGAAAACATGTATTTTGTAGGTCAGAGATGGAGCACAGCTAGTGCTTACCTTCACCCTGCCATAACACGCCCAAACTTGTCCACAGAAGATAGAACGCTCGTAACGAAAATTTTGTTTCAAGGAACAAAAGCCATAGGGGTTGAGTATGTCAAGAATGGGCAAAGGAAAAAGGTAAGAATTTTTATTTCCCTTCCTGAAAGAGTGGGGTCAAAGAAAAATAAGCCTTATTTAACAACAAATAGAAACGAAGACTGACACATCCTTTCTGTACAAAAATTCCACTTTTCAGATGTAATACTGTAGCTCAAAAACACTAGTCAGTTTCAAGAATATGATCCTTTGTTAGATAGTTATGTTCGAAAATACATTTCCTTTTTAACATTTCAGACATCAGGATATTCTCTGTGCTGAAAGAGGGAATGATGAGAGTGTAGAAAGGAAAAGGCTATGCTTGAGGTTTGAAATTGGAACCTACTCTGTAGTCATGCACAGTTACAGTGTGTTGGCTATTGTACTGAATTACTAATGTGCTGGAAAAACAATTTAGGAAAATCTGTTAAAACTGAGTATCTCCTATGGAGTCTGAATAGCTTAGGGGATAGATAATGGAACATAGAGTCATTCTCTGTTGCCATTTTGAATCCAGTTAAGTCTAGTAATGACTAACTACTATAAGGCACATTCCCAGCTGCAGAATAGACATACCCTAACTATTTTATGGCTATTTGGTAGCCTATATGAAATGGGTTTGTGATTTCACTCCAACTTCCACTGAACAGGCATCCACATCACAGAGATCGTCACAACCAGGGGGACATGCGCTGGTAGTCTAAGCACATAAGCCAAGAATGGAATGGGAGTCAGGACTAAAATGGCCTTTGATATTAGGTCAGGATCGAGGAATATTAGTAAAACAATGAGTAACTGCCATTACTTCTTAGCTTTTCTATGGATAAATGGAGGACTTCAGTTTCTGGGGCTTTCAATTCAGTACTTTTCATAAGAAAAGAAGTATTCAGTGAGGGCTTATCTACATTGTGAGGTAATGTGCTCTAGGAGGTATGATTTCTAAAGTGGACTAATGTACTGTGCATCATTTGGTCTGGATAGACCCTGCTGGTGCATACTAAAGGTTCCTTAATGCACTTTAGTGTAGTACTGTTTCAGATAGCACTATGCTAAAGCACACCAGCAAGATCTACACAGACCAATTAATACACAACACATTAGTGCACTTTAGAAATCACTCCCCTGTAGCTCGCATTACCCAACCATGTAGACAAGCCCTTACTCTTCCCTTTTGAATATTACTCCTGATTATTACATATGTAACTAGGTAACTGCCTAAGGTGGATTCAGATATTATTTTAAAGTTCTAATAACAAGGGTGAAATGTTGGAATAATAATACACCAAAGGGGAGGAGAGCATAAATCTTGACAGTTTGAGTTCACTGAACATAAAAACGGCCATGCTGGATCAGACCAAAGGTCCATCTAGCCCAGTGTCCTGTCTTCCGACAGTGGCCAATGCCAGGTTCCCCACAGGGAATGAACAGAACAGGTAATCATCAAGTGATCCATTCCCTGTTGCCCATTCCCAGCTTCTGGCAAACAGAGGCTAGGGACACCATCGCTGCCTATCCTGGCTAATAGCCATTGATCATAGAATCATAGAATATCAGGGTTGGAAGGGACCCCAGAAGGTCATCTAGTCCAACCTCCTGCTCAAAGCAGGACCAATTCCCAGCTAAATCATCCCAGCCAGGGCTTTGTCAAGCCTGACCTTAAAAACCTCTAAGGAAGGAGATTCTACCACCTCCCTAGGTAACGCATTCCAGTGTTTCACCACCCTCTTAGTGAAAAAGTTTTTCCTAATATCCAATCTAAACCTCCCCCACTGCAACTTGAGACCATTACTCCTCGTTCTGTCATCTGCTACCATTGAGAACAGTCTAGATCCATCGTCTTTGGAACCCCCTTTCAGGTAGTTGAAAGCAGCTATCAAATCCCCCCTCATTCTTCTCTTCTGCAGGCTAAACAATCCCAGCTCCCTCAGCCTCTCCTCATAACTCATGTGTTCCAGTCCCCTAATCATTTTTGTTGCCCTTCGCTGGACTCTCTCCAATTTATCCACATCCTTCTTGAAGTGTGGGGCCCAAAACTGGACACAGTACTCCAGATGAGGCCTCACCAATGTCGAATAGAGGGGAACGATCACGTCCCTCTATCTGCTCGCTATGCCCCTACTTATACATCCCAAAATGCCATTGGCCTTCTTGGCAACAAGGGCACACTGCTGACTCATATCCAGCTTCTCGTCCACTGTCACCCCTAGGTCCTTTTCCGCAGAACTGCTGCCTAGCCATTCGGTCCCTAGTCTGTAGCTGTGCATTGGGTTCTTCCGTCCTAAGTGCAGGACCCTGCACTTATCCTTATTGAACCTCATCAGATTTCTTTTGGCCCAATCCTCCAATTTGTCTAGGTCTTTCTGTATCCTATCCCTCCCCTCCAGCGTATCTACCACTCCTCCCAGTTTAGTATCATCCGCAAATTTGCTGAGAGTGCAATCCACACCATCCTCCAGATCATTTATGAAGATATTGAACAAAACCGGCCCCAGGACCGACCCTTGGGGTACTCCACTTGATACCGGCTGCCAACTAGACATGGAGCCATTGATCACTACCCGTTGAGCCCGACAATCTAGCCAGCTTTCTACCCACCTTGTAGTGCATTCATCCAGCCCATACTTCCTTAACTTGCTGACAAGAATACTGTGGGAGACCGTGTCAAAAGCTTTGCTAAAGTCAAGAAACAATACATCCACTGCTTTCCCTTCATCCACAGAACCAGTAATCTCATCATAAAAGGCGATTAGATTAGTCAGGCATGACCTTCCCTTGGTGAATCCATGCTGGCTGTTCCTGATCACTTTCCTCTCATGCAAGTGCTTCAGGATTGATTCTTTGAGGACTTGCTCCATGATTTTTCCAGGGACTGAAGTGAGGCTGACTGGCCTGTAGTTCCCAGGATCCTCCTTCTTCCCTTTTTTAAAGATTGGCACTACATTAGCCTTTTTCCAGTCATCCGGGACTTCCCCGGTTCGCCACGAGTTTTCAAAGATAATGGCCAATGGCTCTGCAATCACAGCCGCCAATTCCTTCAGTACTCTCGGATGCAACTCGTCCGGCCCCATGGACTTGTGCACGTCCAGCTTTTCTAAATAGTCCCTAACCACCTCTATCTCCACAGAGGGCTGGCCATCTCTATCCTCCATGAATTTATCTAGTTCTAGATCCTCCATGATGGATCTATCCTCCATGAATTTATCTAGTTCTTTTTTGAACCCTGTTATGGTCTTATGGTAGCAAGGAGTTGCGCAGGTTGGCCGTGCATTGTGTGAAAAAATACTTCCTTTTGTTTGTTTTAAATCTATTGCCTATTAATTTCATTTGGTGGCCCCTAGTTCTTGTGTTATAAGAAGGAGTAAATAACACTTCCTTATTTACTTTCTCCACACCAGTCATGATTTTATAGACCTCTATCATATCCCCCCTTAATTGTCTCTCTTCCAAGCTGAAAAGTCCCAGTCTTCTTCATCTCTTGTCATATGGAAGCCGTTCCATATGCTTAATCATTTTTGTTGTCCTTTTCTGAACCTTTTCCAATTCCAATATATCTTCTTTGAGACTGGGCGACCACATCTGCATGCAGTATTCAAGATGTGGGCATACCATGGATTTATATAGAGGCAATATGATATTTTCTGTCTTATTATCTATCCCTTTCTTAATGATTCCCAACATTCTGTTTGCTTTTTTGACTGCCACCGTGCATTGAGTGGGTGTTTTCAGAGAAGTATCCACAATGACTCCAAGATCTCTTTCTTGAGTGGTAACAGCCATCCCAGATCCCATCATTCTATATGGACAGCTGGGACCACGTTCTCCAATGTACATCACCCTGCACCTATCAACATCAAACTTCATCTGCCACTTTGTTGCCCAGTCACCCAGTTTTGAGAGATCCCCCGTAGCCCTTCGCAATCAGCCCCAGACTCAACCATCTTGAGTAGTTCTGCATCATCTGCAAATTCCGCCACCCCACCGCCCACTCCTCCCAGATCATTTATGAACATGTTAAACAGGACTGGGCCCAGTACAGACCCCTGGAGGACACCACTATTTACCTCTCTCCATCCTGAAAATGACCATCCATTCCTACCCCTCGCTTCCCATCCTCCAACCAGTCACCAATCCATGAGAGAACTCTCCCTTCCATCCCATGACTGCCCACTTTGCCCAAGGGACCTTGTCAAAGGTTCTCTGAAAATCCAAATACACTATATCCACTGGATTCCCCTTGTCTTCATTCCTGTTGACCCCCCTCAAAGAATTCTAGTAGATTGGTGAGGCATGATTTCCCCCCACAAAAACCATGTTGACTATTCCCCAACAAGCCATTGTCATCCATGTGTCCGACAATCCCGCTCTCCACCATAGCTTCAACCAGCTTGCCCGGCACTGAAGTCAGGCCCACCGGCCTGCAACTGCCAGGGTCACCTCTTTCAAAAATTGGCATCACACTAGCTATCCTCCAGCCACCTGGCACAGAAGCCAATCCAAATGATAGGCGACAGATCACAGTGAGTAGTCCTGCAATGTCACACCTGAGTTCCCCCAGAACTCCCAGGTGAATACCATCTGGCACCAGTAACCCACCACTCTTCAGTCTATCAACCTGTTCTAAAGCCCCCTCCAATGACACCTTAATCTGGGACAGCTCCCCAGACCCGCACCCAAATAGAATGGCTCAGGCCCGGGAATCTCCCCCACATTCTCAATTGTGAAGACCAATGCAACAAATTCATCCAGCTTCCCCACAACAGCCTTATTGTCCCTGAGTGCTCCCCCAGCATCCTGATCGTCTGAAGTACATTATACCCACAGGAATCAATATGTAGAGGGCGTTGAGTGACTGAACACCTGCTAAATGTTAAAAGATAATATAAATAAACTATTCTTTGATTTGCTAAAGCACAGAACATGTCTATTCTTTTCTAAGCCAATTAGAATGATGCTTTCCATTAATAATGCAGGGCAAAAGTTGCAGAATTCTCATTGACTTTAATGGGAGCCCCATATGTCTGAGAGGAGAAGTTGGCCAGAAACAGCACCTGTCACTTTACTGAGCAGTTTACTTACATGAACATGAATAATCTTTCATTATTATGGAGAAGGTGTTTGGCTGAGAACGATGGCACAGGACAAGTGTACTTTTATTAGTTTTGGCCCTAAAAATAAAGTACTAGATACAGGAACATCATGTGTACTGTGTATAAATATTGATATGATTTGGTGAGCTAGTTGACCACATGATGGGTAGCAGGAGACCCAGAAGGTCGTCTCATCTCTGCCACTGATTTCTTGTGTGACCTTGGATAAATCACTTAATCTCGCTGCCTCAGTGCACCATCTAAGTAAGTGCAGGACATTGTTTTTTCTCTCTCTCTGCCCAGTTATTATATATTTTAATGTATTAGGGCCAAATGTGCTTTTTAAAACTTCAGCTACACAAGTCTTATTCAATATATTTTCTTATATGTTCCTGGAAAAAGAGCGCTCTGATTCCTCTGTCATTCTACCACAGTGTCTGGTTTTTATTTTCTGCCATTTCTAATTCAAGTGCAAGGGGTTTAGAAAAATGCATGCATTTGGGAAAACTAAATTGGGATCTGCATGACAGTTTCAAAATTTAACTTTCAGCTTGATCTCATTAAAGGTAAAAGCTTGCAAGAGTAAAAAGGTGACCCTTTCTTGCTTTATGATACATAAAAAAGATACCACAGTTTCTTCTCCCCCCCCCCCCCACTTTTTAATATTAGAAATTCAAGCCTCGTCTCCCTTGCTTTTTTTCTGGGAAGATTCTAAGGATGACGGGAGAACTAATAGTTTTATGACATCAGAGAAACTATGCAAGGAAGCCTGATTGAGAAGAGAAATGATTTTTATAGACTATTTATTTAAAATTCTGTGTTATATTTGTTTAGTTAACAACTATTGAAATCAAACAGTTAGGAAAAACTATTTGATTGTTGAAGTTTTCTCAGTCTTCCCTTTTAAGTGAAGATTTAGGGCCTGATCCAAAGCACATTAAAATCCGAAAGATCCCCACAGATTTTAATGGACATTGGATACGGCCTTAAGAAAGCTCCCAGTCATTTCAGAAGTCCTTCAGAAAAAACAAATAAAATGGCCTTGGTAGTCCTGGTATGTTTTAGGTAAAAAAAAATCAAGCAAAAAAGAATATTTATGGGGGTTGGGGAATGCTTTCAGACTTTCTTTTATGTATCATAAACTATATATGTGTGTGTACATATATAAGGGACCAACTTGATTGTTTTTCCTCTGAGGTCACCTTTAAATGCACTACATGACTATATACAACATGAATTACAAGCTATGAATGTCTATGCAGCAGGGTTGCACTGGGTATAAACCCATAACCTAGAGCAGAGATAAGAGTACACATTTGGAAATAGTATGATTTGAAACAAGCCACATTTTCATTAGGAAACAAAAATGTGAACACGTACTTCATTTACACAGTGACTCTCTGATGATTCGCTGAAACTATTTTTGTATACAATATGCAACGTACTGTAGAGATTTTGCATAGCTGTTGTTTTATGAACCAATTCAATAAACCTGAATGTTTTGTGTATTAGTTCTACCATACTAGACAATTGTCCAGAGCAGAAAAATACAAGGGGGAGCAAAATGTCACCACTGGGTGTGCTAGCAGTAACTTCAGATGAGTAGTGTGAAAACAATTAATAAAAATCAAACTTTTTGTAAGTTTTGTTCTATTCTATCAGTCAGAAAGAAAATAGGAATAGTAAAAGTAAATGGTACTTCGCATACTGGTATTGCCTGTATACATAAAGGAAAAATCAAGTTGGTCATTTTTAGAAGACTACAGAACCATGCCTAAAATACCACAGCTAAAATTAAAGTGGAGACACAGTGTAGAGTCTTAAATTCTACAAAAGTAAACACTGGGCTTAAATTCTAGTGTCTGCAGATGAGCAATACAAGAGCTGCCTTCTTGAGCTCTTTTTTTTGTCATTTCTAGTGATTTTATTAAATTGAGGCAAATCTCTATATACACATTTAGCAGAAGTCTATTTACATGTATTAGATGGATAATATCTATGTTTACTTTTAAGTATTTTTATTTTTGTTGATTTAAATTTCACAGTTGTGGAAAATTATGGGGTGAGGGGTATGTGTGGTGGGGCGGGACTCACCCCTGCAGCACCTCCTGCTGGTCATCCAAGGAATTAGTGTTTCCAGCCTCTGGAGAGCCCTTTGCAGGCCGGTGTCCCGCTTGCTGGTGGGCCCCAAGTCCCTCCCGGACCCCGGTGCCCCTTTCACGAATGGGTGCTGCCCCCTGGCAGTACCCCCACTCCATGGCATTTGCTTTGCAAGTTATGAAAGTATGTTCAAAGATGCAACACGTGCCGATTGCTCAATGTATGCTCAGTGATGCTAGATGAGATGTATTACAGGACATTGAGCACCAGTGCAGTGTTAATTTTACAACATTCTATAGCTCAAAGTAGTAGTAGCTTTAGGATTTGTATCAGATTTAAATGGCCTTTGTTTCTACTTCCCTATGTGAATACACTCCTATTTGTCCCTTTACATGTATTTCATGTAATCTAGTCACTTTTAAGTTTCTTGAATATTTCTTTCCTAACCTCCCCACTATGCAAAAGTTTGAATTTATTTCCCCAATGCTGATAGCACTTTCTCTGACCCTAAGATCTCAAATATCTAAGGGCAAAATTCTGCTCTTGCTATTCTGAACCTTATAATGGAAAGTGCTGGACATGTGGAGAGTTCCTGAGCCATTTTGTTAATATAAGGCAGGTTGATTTCAGGGGTGCAGGGGAGAAATGTGCTCTGTAGCAAACTGTAATGGTCCTTTAAACAGACTGAGCTCCCCAAAAGCACCTGTTGCCAAAGACAGAATTTCTAACCTTGCCTGGAGATCAGTCCCCTTGGAGACATGGTTTCCTGTTGGACACATTCATTGCTCCCCGTCTAACAATGAAGAGAGTGATAGATCAGAGTTCTGTCTAGCTGCTGACTGGATGAGTTGGGGATGAGGAGAGGAAGAGCAGCCTGCACACTTTTCTCCAACCCCTCATGAGACAGGGCAGGATTTTGCCCTAGATCTGCAGTGCTGATCTGACAACTGAGAGCAAGAGAAAACAAATGAATATGAACCATGAAGCTTATGGGTGGAAAGAGTCAGAGAGGAGATGATGAAGATGTTAGATAATGTCTACTCACTAGGTACCGATGAGATAAATAGGTCAACCTCTGAGGTCCTGAGCTAATGGTTAGCAGCATAAGTAGTAACCAGCTGAGAGATGCACATTCTTTAGGCTGTTTAATGAAAAAACTGTCATACAAAACAATATATGTATACATACTTATAAGGGCTCCCTGCTATAGCACATAGCTATGTGGGGCAATGGAAGTGTGGAATCCATGAGACCACAAGGGCTGTGAAACCAAAAATTCGCCTCAGTTGGACTGAGGATGTGACAATGCTTGAAGAGAGACTTTGTTGAGCTAACATATTACAGAATACCTCAGAGTGTAAAATCTTTTTCAGGATTTTTAATCTATTAATCACTAGTGAAAATGGAACAGGCTCTGGCTGTTTCCTTGCTTGAAGTTACTGTAGATCTCTGTTCTGGAAAGAAGTGTGCAAGTGTACTGCCAATCATGTTATTTGATCAATTAAATGCTTGTGTACCCTACAGTCTTAACAAATTACAAAACTTTGTTCAGTTCACATTTTGTTCCAATGTGACATCTTAGTTATTTCTGTCCATAGAAACTTATACCAAGGTGAGCAAAACATTTGGAATAATAAAGATGGATGCTGGTATGATTCTAAAGAAATAGAGTATCTTTTTTTTAAAAAAAAGCTCTTGGAAATATTGGTTGTGGTCTAAAATCAAACCTGTAATAATCTTCTTTAAAATTTATTTTTAATTTTCAGGCTCTTGCCAGTAAGGAAGTGATTTTAAGTGGAGGAGCCATAAATTCCCCACAGCTGCTTATGTTGTCTGGGGTTGGAAATGCAGATGACCTCAAAAAATTAGGGATCCCTGTTGTTTGTCACCTTCCTGGTAATCTTTTTATTGGTTTCATCTTTCACCTCCCTAATGGTCTGATCCAGAGCCCACTGAAGTCATTGGAATGACTGCCATTAACTTCAGTGGCCTTTAGATCAGGCTCTGTGGACCCAAACCAACTACCATTACAGTCAATGGAAAGACTCCCGTTGACTTTAATGGAAGTTAGAAAAAACTCTTTTATACATTGCACCTCTCCATGTAATGGTGTCCAATATTCATTCCTTTCTGAACTATGGCAGTAGATAACTTATTTTAAAGCAAAGAAGCCGTATGTATCACTGATATTTTTAAATTAGAGCTGTACATTCTCTTTGATCCACAGCGGATTGCCTACCGATAGTAATCAGAGTTTAATATAAGGATGGAGGGTAGAACATGGGCCTTATGTAGTAACTGAACTTTTCTAGCTAAAAGTTATCGTTGCATTTAGAAATTATGCCTACCATTGTTAGAACCAGAACTATTTCTGCTATTTGTTTATATGGCTTCTTGCATGCTCCATTTTCCTATGTGTGCTCAAGAAAATTAAACAAACAATTGCATATCTAAATTATTTGAAAATCTTACTCAAATGATCATTGTTAGGTCTAAGAGTCAACACACCATGAGGAATAACATGGGAGAGTTTTTCCTTGCATTCTGCAATACCGGCATATGGCCTGAATAAATATCTTAAATTAAGCATGTGGCAATTCTCCAAAAAGGGCCATATTTTTGGAATGTAATGTGCCCACGCTACACATACCCACGTCATATGTACTTTGAAAGCTTATTTTATGTACGTTTAGATGAAGTATGATGTGGTGCTGCCAACTGGTGCCATAAGCTTGTAGGTGAGGTGAAACAATGCTACCTACAATGAGAGTGTCATTTTTTGCACAGTTCCAGAAACACTGTAACATGACTATGACAACATTTTGGATAAATTAACTTCAGTACCTTAATAGTGTTTATTGATCAAAGCTACCAAATGACAACCTCTGAATAGGGGCCCTCCCAATCGGGGGGTCTAAATCCACTGCTCTTGGCTACTTCCTACCACTATCCCTTCAGTTTGGAGCATGGCCCTTGTAGTCCAATTCACTGGGATGGCTTGCCTCCGATAGCACCCTTTTGTGGACCTTGGGTGGTGCCCTGCCATAATCCCAGGCTCCTACCTCTTTGCTAGTCAGCACTGAACTGAGCCAGGCTCTCACCTTTTCTCCTTTCTCCAGGCCTGGCATTGGCTGCAGGTATAATGGGGCGGGGCTAGCTGGGCCCAACTGCTCTCTTTAACCCCTGCTGTGCTGGTGGTTAGTTTCTCTGCTTCATCACAGTCCAGAAGTGATTTACTATGAAAAAGTACCTGGGAAAATAAACGCCTGTCACCTACAATGAACACTGTCTGAATTCTCTCCTGGTGTCTTTTAAAACTTTATCTTGTGATGTCCTACCAATACTAAATAACGCTAATCATAGAATCATAGAATATCAGGGTTGGAAGGGACCTCAGGAGGTTATCTAGTCCAACCCGCTGCTCAAAGCAGGACCTAATCCCAACTATATCATCCCAGCCAGGGCTTTGTCAAGCCTGACCTTAAAAACCTCTAAGGAAGGGGATTCTACCACCTCTCTAGGTAACCCATTCCAGTGATTCACCACCCTCCTGGTGAAAAAGTTTTTCCTAATATCCAACCTACACCTCCCTCACTGCAACTTGAGACCATTACTCCTCGTTCTATCATCTGGTACCACTGAGAACAGTCTAGATCCATCGTCTTTGGAACCCCCTTTCAGGTAGTTGAAAGCAGCTATCAAATCCGTCCTCATTCTTCTCTTCCGCAGACTAAATAATCCCAGTTCCCTCAGTCTCTCCTCATAACTCATGTGCTCCAGCCTCCTAATCATTTTTGTTGCCCTCCTCTGGGCTCTTTCCAATTTGTCTACATCCTTCTTGTCGTGTCGGGCCCAAAATTGAACACAGTACTCCAGATGAGGCCTCACCAGTGCTGAATAGAGGGGAATGATCACATACCTTGATCTGCTGGCAATGCTCCTACTTATACAGCTCAAAATGTCATTAGCTTCTTGGCAACAAGGGCACACTGTTGACTCATAATATTGTTCTCATTCAGGTGATTCCATTTTGGGCTGATTTCAACCACAAGCTTGCAACAAAGAAGAGAATCTACCCAGCAGTTGCATATTCACCTATTACGGATGCCAGACCAGCTGACATGGCCACAATCTATACTACTGTGCTGAAATGTCAGCAACTGTAGGACAGGTGCCTTTTGTTCAGATCATGGATCAGCAGCTGTGTGCTGTCACTCAACAAGTGAAATGGACTCTCCAAATGAACTTGGTACCAATGTGATTCACCTGGATGTTTTTCACACCCTGTGCTGTTTTATTGCATGAGTTACGAAATTTTGATGAGACGCAGGATTGCTAGACCACCTTGTTGATACTGATGTGTATGCTGCTTGTAATGCAGATCAAATGCTTGCTGCTAAGCAATTCAGCTGTGCTCTATAGGTATGTCTACACTGCAATAAAAAACCTGCTGCTGGCCTGCATCAGCGGACTCAGTCTAAAGGGCTGTTTAACTGTAATGTAGATATTCAGGATCAGGCTGGAGCCGAGCTCAGACACCCTCCCCCTTGTCAGGACCCAGAGCTCGGGCTCCAGCCCGAGCCAGAAATGTCTACACCACAATTAAACAGCCCCTTAGCCTGAGCCCAGTCAGGTGACGTGGGCCAGCAGTGGGTGTTTAATTGCATAGGGTATAGACATACCCCTATGGCTTGGCTCTAGCATTAGAGGCCCGGAGTGCTCCAAAACTTTATTCTTTTGTTAAATTGTGTGAGCAGGAAGGAGGTACTCATGTAGTTCCAGCATTTGTCTGGCAAATGTTGGCTCACACTCAAAAGGTGTCTGAGTCTGAAGACTCAACAGTCCTTACAACGTCATTAAAGAGCTTGTTTGTGCTGTAATTCAGTATGTGCAGTCACTACTGAAGGACTTTCAGATATGTGGGTATGCCCAGTCTCCTACATTCAAGGTCTGGGAGCATTTTCTCCAGGTTATGTAGACACTGCATCTAAATGTCCATGCAGAGTGAGTGTGTGATTGGAAACTTCACATGACATAGCAGGTCATGCTTCTATGCATCTTTACTGCAAACAGAGCCAACTGTGCCAGATGGATATCAATCTACATTTTTGATATGTTAAAATTTCCCTGAAGTAGTATTCACTGCCTTTGAATCTGGGGGGAATTTGCTGTATGTCATACTTCTGTTTTTTTCAGTGGAATTTGGAGTGACATGGGAACAGGGAAAACTGTCCTCAAAGACTCATAGGGCAGTAGTGGGATTGTAGTACTGACAAGAAAGAAGCCAGCCCTTGTCAGATAGACACTCACATGACATGTCCTGAGTGAATATGCAAAAACTCTGAGAGAAAGAAGTGGCCTAACAAGAAGTAGTGAAGACTAAGTTCACAAACAAGTCCTTGCCTTTGCACTGAAGAGGAATGAAAAGCATTTTACAGCAGTTACCAACCATGTCATCAGCAATATGACAAACCCATTTGATCCTGAGTCACATCTAGAGGTGCTTATCACCATATATAATGGACACCATGTAACATCAGATGTACAAGACTCTCTACTGAAAATAGCAGATGTTGGTGAAGAACAAATGGAGAGATTTGTGAGAGGTGCACTTGATTCTGATTGGACAGGTAACATCTTCAGCCCAGTCAAGAAAACTAAATTTAAGCCTGCCCAGGGAGGGATTATCACAGCATTTATCAGACCAGAAATTGTTTTCTGAAGAGCCCTGTCCTTAGTAAGATGCAACGATGCTGTTTCAATGGCAACTGTTCTTAGTCACCAAGTAGGACCTGTGCCTATGTTCCTCTTCCATGCTGTGGAACAATGAGAAGAACAGACAAAGCTGAATTAGGACATCATCTGGAAGCTCAAGCTGAAAGGATCCATGAGCTAAGAGCATGTGACAAAGAAACCACAGGGTATATCAGAGATGCCGTGGGTGGTCATACAAAATGATGGCTGGAGACAAATTCCACACTTTCAGTGAATTGGCTGCTGAGTACTTGAGGCATGTCCTAAAAGGATTTGACAAAGCTAATTTTGTAATCAAAGTCTTTGACAGATAATGACAACAGTAACTCTGTGAAAACTGCAGAAAAATAGCGCCAGACAGGATCTAACAAGGATGCAAGAAATGTCAGGTGATTGGTGGATGTCTGTGCCTCCATGGAAGAAGTTTCTAAACGTGGCATCCAACAAGCATTCATTTGTAAAATTCCTCTGTAAATATATGGTTCAAAGTGAACCTGAGGGTGTAGGAGCACACCAACACAAATACTCCTTCTTGCTGAGGCCTAAGTAGGAAAGTCCATCATCACCAGCAGAAGTGAAGGTGCTGAAGAAGCCCAAGAACTTGTACAGTATTCAAGAGGAAGCTGTATGTGCCAATATAGCTTTTGGGTCTCTTGGTGTCAAAGGAACTATAGGAATACGTCACTTGATATAGATGTTTTGGAACTTGCTGTTCACTACTTTCCAAAAGTGAAACATATAGATAATGTGGATTGAAATAGGCAACATTACCAACACAACTGACAAGTGTTGCTTCATACCTATGTGTGCAGTTTATGATGCACTCACTCCTGACTTCTGCAACATACTTCCTGCTGTATACGCATTAACAGGATGTGACCTAGTGTCATTCCTGTTTGATATTGAGGGAAAAAAATCTGTGTTTAATGTCAAAACAGAGGTTCAGAGATCTTGCCAAATTAGGATAGAGTAATGGACAAGTTGTAATTTCTGCAGCAAGGAAATTGGTAGCACTGCTGTATGACCAGAGCAAGAAAGAAAAGGATACCCTCAAGGACTTGAATTTCTTGTACCTCAATCTAGCCATCAAAAAGGACAAATGGCCAAACTACCATCATGTCAGGGCAGTTTTGAAGATCATGTCAAAAGAGCAACTTGACAAACAAAGATTTGCGTGTCTTTGCAGATAGGTAAACCAGATCCTGGATCACCATTGCAACATGGATGGAAAAATGTGGAGGATGAACTACTTCCTGGATTCTTCAAGGGCCAATGGAGACCTTATTTGAGCCTGTATCAGTTTCGATCACAGAAGAATCAACTGTGTCTGTAGTTAGAACAATCTTCCCTGCACAGAACTGTGTACCTGCCAAGGCAATGAAGATCATGGTAACCCCCTCATTCTCAACAGAGAACATAATGATGAACAAGATGATGATGATGTTGACTAGAAATGTCACCAGCGTTCTACATTTAACGATACCTCTACAAATTATTAGACTTTGTTTTACCCTTTAGATGGTTCTTGTGATGCATGGAGGTCACAAAGAAATTAAATTTTATGTCTTGAAATAACACATAGCCATTAAACGAACAGAAACAAATGCACATATTTCAAAGTGGTCATTTTAACGTGTTGATGCTATAATTGTTTATGCCCCTTTCTGTGGTAATGGCACCACTTGACAGCTCCACATTATATCTCATCTTAAAGTAGACATAATAAAATGATGTGAGTGTGTGTAGATAGGGTACATTAACTTGATGAAATCGGTGGTGTCTGCTGCTTGCCTAAATGGGCTGGACTAGGCCCAGGGTCCATGGTGTTTGACACCACTGCCTTTGTAAGAGGTTATTTCAGTTTCCATTCAGGGTAGTTTATAGAGGAAAATGTACCTGCTTGTATATAAACATTTACATTTTGCCTGTATATAATTTCTTGCGGTTTTTGTTTGTTTGTACCAGGGGTAGGCCAGAATCTTCAAGATCATTTAGAAGTGTACATACAGCAGAAGTGCACCAAACCTATTACTCTCTACAAAGCACAAAAGCTTATTAACATGGCAAAGATTGGTTTAGAATGGCTTTGGAAATTTACAGGTATGAAAAAAATGTGAAACTGTCCCACTGTTCAGTTCTATAGGATTACCAAATTTGGCTTTTAGCTGAACTATATATGTCAGAATCCCAGAGTGTCTTTCCCAATGAAGCTTTATTATTACCAATTCTGCAGAAACTGGAGATTTTAAAAAATGAGTTCAAATGGGGGGAGACTGTGCAGTTTCTTTAGCTTTAATTTGCTTAGTTTTTTCCAAATTAGAATTTATTTTAACAAATGTAATGTTTATTGTAACAAATGAGGTTGAGATGCACTTTTTTTGTAGCATTTCGTTCCCTACCCTTAAATTCAGGCAGGGAATCTTTGCATGTTGCTAAATGTTTGCATTTGTGCCTAACTCCCATTTTGGGATATGTTCCATACTTAAATCTATGGGCCACTGAGAAAAGCTACTGTAAAAAGTGAAGTCAGAAAATGATGTATTAAGACACTGTCTAGAAAACAAATACACTGAACTAAATTCATCCTTGGTGTAACTCCATAAAAGGTAGTTATCTCATTGCATTGTCCAGAACTCTTAAAACTTACTTGTACTTGTATTGTCCAGAAATAATGCATTCTCCTGTCTTATAGTAGCCCAGTCCCTAAATTACATTTTCAAGGATAAATTGTAAAGATTTTTCTTAGCAAGTAAAACAAATAAGCCAATTTCAGTGCTAAACTACCCCCCATGCAGTTTCACTGTCTTAGCGTGGTGTCACAGCAAAGCATTTGGCCCAATATATCATGTGCTATTGCATACATATGACTTTTTATTACTGCAAGTAACTATTTTTAAAAGGATGGATTATGACTCATCTAGTTGGGTGGCACAGAGATTTAAAGGCGTGCTGTACAGCAGTGTGGAGGGGAAGTAGGGTCTGCAGATGGTGTCAGGGGGCAGGGAGTGGGCAGAGCTCCCTGTTGCATCTGGGAGCATTAACTGCACTGGATATCTAGCTGCCACAGCTTATTCCCTCCCTCAACCAGCGGACACTCCCAGTGACAATCTTCCATCTAAGCTGCTTCAGAAGCATTGCAACAGTGCACTGCCCTTCATATTAAGCAAACTGTAATACCTCATTCTAGCCCAAAGTAAATGGAAAGATTTAGGAAGCTGGAGACACCTTGGGATTTTTTTAAAGTCAAACACATTTTACATTTATTTAGTGATAAACATGATGAAAGTAATGTACACTGCACAAGTTATAAGTTAATTGCATATGGATTTGCACCCCTCGCAGTTTCACTGTCTTTGATTGACATAATTGTGTGCATTGCACAAGTGGAAAGGTGTATGGGGCATGGAGAAATGGTGCTGAAACAAGGATTTTAAAAATACACATTTTTCTTGCCTTTTGAATATTTTAGAATTTTTCTTTCTTTCTTTCTCAATCTCTAGGAGATGGAGCTACTGCTCACTTAGAATCTGGTGGATTTATTAGAAGTCAGCCAGGTGTTCCTCATCCAGACATTCAGTTCCATTTTCTTCCTTCTCAGGTGATTGATCATGGACGTGTTGCTTCCAAGCTGGAAGCTTATCAGGTCAGTGGTTTAAGGACACAAATTAGGAATGTCCTGAATTAGCAAGGAGATTTACAGTTTATTGGAAACATTAATACTAGTACAGTGATCAAGTTACAGATTGTTCAGTATTGTGTAAAATATGTGACTTAATTGCCTACATTGCAAAAATATTTACTAATTGTATTTGTTGCTGGTGCCAGAATAATTTTACTCTTTATCTTTGGAAAAATACGCAATAAGTTTATTAGGGGCTATGAACCTGATTCTGTGTCATTGTCATCAGTAGTACATAATCAAGTTCTATATTATAATATTTTGTTTTCCCTTTAACTCCTTTGTAGTGTGTCTTTTTGTTGTCTCAATATATAATGTAGATTCAAAAGTCTGTAGTTCATACCGTGAAACTGTCACTATATACAGTACATCTGTTTTCTTTGGCTGGTTTTTACTTCACGATGATAGTAATTTGGTCATCCGAACTGTCAGCTACTGCTAAACTGAAATAACATTTGCTTGTTGTTGTATTAGAAATAGTTTATTTCCTGTGCTGTGCATATAACCAAAAAACATAACAAAAAATGTTCATATTGTGGCCTCCCCTTTTATTCTCCCTTTTTTATATTTTGTTTGGGTAATCTGTAAGAAGACTCCATGTTTTTAAAAATTGCATTGGACTCTGAAGTCTGTCTAGATGGAATTTTGTCATGCGGTGTGTTGGGGCTATTGCAGGTTCATGTTGGACCCATGAGGAGCACAAGTGTGGGCTGGCTAAAGCTGAAAAGTACAGATCCAAGGGACCATCCTGTGATTGAACCAAACTACTTGTCAACGGGTAAATGCCTGGTATCTATATTGAGTTGGTCTCATTCAGTTCCTTCCCCCTTGCTCCCAGGAGAAGTGATCTAACTACCTGCCCATATCAGTAGGAAATTACTCCCCATTTGACACCGGCTCAACTGTGCTGGTTGGCACATTGGTATTATTATTACTATTTATGTTGTGATAGCTCAGAGGAGCCCCAGTTAATGACCAGAATGCTATTTTGCTAGGTGTTGTACAAACTCTGAGCAAAAAGACAGTTCCTGCCTGTTCCCTGCCCCTTCCTGTTCACCCCACGCCCACCTGTGCAAGAGGGGGAGTAAAGGCCACCACACACCTTGGTTGCCTCCCCCCACTCAGCTGGTGATCACATAGCCCATACCCTCTTTATTCCTGTGTATCATTTTTATTCATCCTACTCTCCTGTACAAGTGTGTAGGACAAGTGACAATTTTGCCCCTGGTGAATGTATCTTGGAAAAAAGTTCCCATTGTTTTTTCTTTCAGTAACAAGTTGAGAGCCTTTAAATTGTATATAAGCCTCCTTCCACTTTAATTTTGCCGCCTTTTCTTGGTATAGCACACTGTCCTGTACTAGCATTATGATGCTGCTGTTTGTTTGTTTGAATTATGCAAAGGGAAGTATTTCTAACCAGTGTGTGTATTTATAGTCTCTTTGTTTCCTCTCTGTACAGAAACAGATGTGTGGGAATTTCGTCAGTGTGTCAAGTTATCCAGAGAAATTTTTGCTCAGAAAGCTTTTGAAAAATTCTGTGGTCCTGAAATTCAGCCAGGAAGTCATATCCAGTCTGACAAAGAAATAGATGCTTTCATAAGACAGAAGGCTGATAGTGCTTATCATCCTTCTTGTACCTGTAAAATGGGGCAGCCGTCTGACACCACTGCTGTGGTTGATCCTCAGACCAAAGTAATTGGGGTTGAAAACCTGAGAGTTGTAGATGCCTCAATAATGCCCAGTGTGGTCAGTGGGAATTTGAATGCCCCAACCATTATGATAGCAGAAAAAGCTGCTGATATGATCAAGGGGTTCCCATCACTCAGTGAGAAAAATGTTCCTGTATATAAACCTCAAACCTTGGAAACTCAGCGATGAACAAAATGCCCACGCTTATTTTCCAGGTGAGTTTTTACCCACATGGAAATCTTACATTGGACTTTGCCAAGAGAACAAATGTATTGCTACAAAAAATTACAGGTAGGTATTAATTCACTACCTCTCTGATATTGAGAAGGTTGTAACAGTAATTTAAAAAAAAATCAAGTTATTTGCAGTAACTGGTCATTTTAGTCAAGCATTTGGGTGATGACCAGTTTTTGTAATGTAGTTTGAAGTTTATGCTGAAGAGGGTCAGTTCTGCCTTACAAAAAGAAGAGGCAATCATGTGAGCTATCAAGGAGTTCAGGACCTGTATGGCTGAGCGTGGGATGGTAGAAGTGGATGTTTGCTGCTTTGCATAGAACAGTAAGACACTTAAAACCAGTGATGAGCTGCCAAAATCTGAAGAACTGGTTCCTTCAGTCACTCTGGGTCTTCGGCAGCACTGAGGAACCAATAAATGTCAACTTCATTTATTGGTGCTTGTGTAATAATTTATACTAAAATGGATAATGTATTATGGAGGTATTGATCACAGCTCCATTGTTAAGGTTGAGTTGTTTTAAACTTAAAGGCATACGTATAGTATTAGATATAGTCAAGTTAAAAAGATATCCATATTTGATATACAGATTGCCTTAATAGCTTCTATAAAAACAAACAGCTGATTATTTAAAATTTCTATAATGATAAATTCTCCATGTTCTTTGTATTTAACTTAATAAAATTCAGTTAATAACTTAATTTGTTTTGGTTGCGTAATGCAATATGGAAACTTACCTTGTTTCACTACTGTATGTTTAAGGGGGCCATGAAAGGTGACTGCCCAGCTGCAAATGATGAAACAGACTCTAAGGTCTGGATTGTTACTAAAGTGTAAACACTTTTTAAAAAAAATTACCTGCTGTCTAGAGAGATCTTTTACCACATCAGATAGATGCTTGTCTGCCCCTGTTCAGTTAACTTGAACATCTTGGCTCATTTACTTTTAGAAAGAATAAATACATCTTGGCTCTACTACTTTGATAATGCTTGCCTAATGCCTAGACTTTTTTCTGGATGTTTGCTGAGAAAAATCCTTTACAGATATCCATCAATGGCCCTTTCTTGAGTGTGTTCTAATAGCTTTCCAGATATCATTAAAGATCACAGGAGGTACAGGCCCCTGCATTGTGATGTGTTCTTGCAAGGTAGTATGGAAATCCCCATAGAATGGAATAGTGAATGGAGTAGAAACAGGATGGAAATTACAATCCTTCTTTTCCCCACCACTAATAGCAGAGGAGGGAGGGAAAAGATCTTTATTCCAGCCTGCACCTGCACTCCTTACTCCTACAAATGTGAATGGGAATTTTTGCTTGGGTAAGGGGTGCAGCCTCAGCCCTATAGCTTGTACATTTTTTTTTAAAAAAAGGGCATTTAAATCCTGTTTTATACTTTGATTCTTTTTAAATCTGCATGATGTTTAATGTAAACGAGGAAATGTGCATAATCCTTGCATAATCTGTCATTATGACAATTAAACTCCTGTGAAAGTTTTTGCTATTGTGCTGTTTTAGCTTGCATAATCATCTTAATCAGCGTCATGGTTTAACAGACAAATATCTGTAGCAGATTTCTCCATTATCTGTTTTCATAAAATAAGCTATTTAGAAATGGGAACATGTCAAAACTAAAAAAAAAACATCAGATGTTAGAATGTCTGCAGAGCACAATTAATATTAGTCCTCAGAATAAGGCTAAAATGTTTAGCATTCATAATTAAGTTCCCATAATTAAGTTTCCCATGTAGAAACTGTCTGTTATATGAATATGCCGGAAGGAGGAGTGGAGACACTGGAGGTGGTTTAGTTAGGCTGCAACTTCATTCCCAAACATCAGGGAGTACCGGTAGGTAAAAGTGCAGGTAGATCTACAGGTTTCAGAGTAGCAGTCGTGTTAGTCTGTATCTGCAAAAAGAAAAGGAGTACTTGTGGCACCTTAGAGACTAACAAATTTATTTGAGCATAAGCTTTTGTGAGGTACAGCTCACTTCATCGGGTAATTCCATAATCATTTACATATGCTGGGGGTGAGGGAGAGTTGCTCTCAGCTCTTCCCCTTTACTCTTCCTGGTCCACAGCTAATCTGCACCTGGGACCTCATGACCCCCCTTCCTCTTGAATGAGGGCTGGGGGGACAGTTGGCTCCCTGCCATACCTGTCATAAGAATCCTGAAACCCCCTATTCCACCCATTTCCGCTCCTTTTTACAATATCTCTTTTAAATCCTTTACCAAGGAGCACCATGGACTTTATCTGTGGAGTACCTGCACTGGACATCTGCTCCATACTGAGCTGCATCATCATAAGCTAACCCCCATTTTCACTTGGTACAACTGAGCCCCCAACACTCTGTGCGGAAGGCAAAACAAAAACAAAAAAAACCCCTCACCCTGACCAATCTGGAGATGAAGGAAAAAATTCCTTCCCAGCCCCCGCGAGAAAGGAGCAATTAATGCCCACAGTGTATTATGACAAAACCTGGTGTTTAGTTGCTATCATGCAAGGGTAGGGGTGGGAATGTTGCTCCGCCTGTCCCAAGTAAAAGAGGGCTTTTATAGCACCAGCATGGATCTAAATAGTCTCCCCTTTCTTCCAGTCACCTAAGGGAGAGGGAGACATGGGTTCATGTCCTCAAACTGATCTGCTCTGAAGCTGCTGCAGCTCTCTAGCTACCTAGCCCTTAAAGGGACCACACATCTTTTGCTACAGGCCAGACAACAGCCTCTACTGCTTAATGTACGGTGAGGTCATATCTAGGATTCCTGTGCCGGTTTTTAAAAAGACCTGAAAAATTAGTACAAGAAGAATGTGGATTTATTAAATAGTCTGTGAACTAAAAGAAATCCTACAAATATAACTCAATTATTGAGCAAGTAGATGTCAAATAATAAAGCTAGTACTCCTATGGCTGAGACGTTATGAAAGATAGTATTATCTTAAGTCAGGGACTGTTACCAACATGTAAAGGACAAAAATTATTATTAAATGCAGAAAGAGAAAATGCTCACAATAGCTTAGCATACATTGGCAATTGCTGAAAGTACAGTAAATACAGGTCTTGCAGCTGTAAATACGTAACTTTAAAGCTTGCTTGAGCCTTCCAATGAACAGCGGAATAATTTACTCCAGAAAAATAGAATTTTACACAGTTCAAGCAGGTTATAAAAAAAACCCTGCTGACTCAAAAGTTGACTAAAGGAACAACTGCAGATGTTCTAGGCAGATATTCCTACCTGGTGCTGCTGCAAAGCACTGGTGGAGCCCTATAATTAACTGAGGAAAAGACATGCTGTGTTAGAATAATTGCATAAAACAAACAAAGAAACTGAAGAGAGAAGATGACAGCACTGAACACGCTTCCATAATGAGACAGGTAAACCATTTCTGTCTGATGCATGTCGTTGGTAGGAGGTGAGCAATAACAATGTGTTAGGTATTAGACTATCTACTGTGTTTATAAGTCAGCCTATCTGATACAACCCTGTGGGGCGGGCAGCTGTGTGTCGGATGAGACTTATATACGTTGTGCCTTTTATTGTGTAATATTTTACTTGGTACTATTGCATTCAAGATTTTCAAATAAAAAATGCACAGTATTAAGGCTCTTTCTGGCATTTAGAGTAAGTGGTACCACACCATTAAAAATAATAATATGTATCGGCCACACTTGCCACAGCAGTGTGCAACTGACGTGGGGAGCAGTTTTGAAAGGCTACGTAGTGGTGGAAGTCCTTGTATATGATGAATAATAGTATAGTATACCAGGGTCACATTTTTGGCATATGAATTGTTGTTTATACTATTTGCAAAAAGAAAATGAGTACTTGTGGCACCTTAGGGACTAACCAGTTTATTTGAGCATAAGCTTTCGTGAGCTACAGCTCACTTCATCGGATGCATGCTGTGGAAAATAAAGAAGATGTTTTTATACACACAGACCATGAAAAAATGGGTGTTTATCACTACAAAGGTTCTCTCTTCCCCCCACCCCACGCTCCTGCTGGTAATAGCTTATCTAAAGTGATCACTCTCCTTACAATGTGTATGATAATCAAGGTGGGCCATTTCCAGCACAAATTCAGGGTTTAACAAGAACGTCTGAGGAACGGTGGGGGGGGGGAAGGAATAAACAAGGGGAAATAGGTTATTTTTTATAATGAATCAACCATTCCCAGTCTCTATTCAAGCCTAAGTTAATTGTATCCAATTTGCAAATTAATTCCAATTCAGCTGTCTCTCGTTGGAGTCTGTTTTCAAAGTTTTTTTTGTTGAAGGATAGTCACTTTGAGATCAGAAATCGAGTGACCAGAGAGATTGAAGTGTTCACCGACTGGTTTATGAATGTTATAATTCTTGACATCTGATTTGTGTCCATTTATTCTTTGACGTAGAGACTGTCCAGTTTGCCCAAAGTACATGGCAGGGGCATTGCTGGCACATGATGGCATATATCACATTGGTAGATGTGCAGGTGAATGAGCCTCTGATAGTGTGGCTGATGTTATTAGGCCCTGTGATGGTGTCCCCTGAATAGATATGTGGGCACAGTTAGCAACGAGCTTTGTTGCAAGGATAGGTTCCTGGGTTAGTGGTTCTGTTGTGTGGTATGTGTTTGCTGGTGAGTATTCGCTTCAGGTTGGGGGGCTGTCTGTAGGCAAGGACTGGCCTGTCTCCCAAGATTTGTGAGAGTGTTGGGTCATCCTTCAGGATAGGTTGTAGATCCTTGATAATGCGTTGGAGGGGTTTTAGTTGGGGGCTGAAGGTGACGGCTAGTGGCGTGCTGTTATTTTCTTTGTTAGGCCTGTCCTGTAGTAGGTGACTTCTGGGAACTCTTCTGGCTCTATCAATCTGTTTCTTCACTTCCGCAGTTGGGTATTGTAGTTGTTAGAATGCTTGATAGAGATCTTGTAGGTGTTTGTCTCTGTTTAAGGGTTGGAGTAAATGCGGTTGTATCGCAGAGCTTGGCTGTAGACAATGGATCATGTGGTGTGGTCAGGGTGAAAGCTGGAGGCATGTAGGTAGGAATAGCAGTCAGTAGGTGGGGAGAAAACCTGGATTTGTGCTGGAAATGGCTCACCTTGATTATCATACACATTGTAAGGAAAGTGATCACTTTAGATAAGCTATTACCAGCAGGAGAGTGGGGTGGGGGGAGAGAAAACCTTTTGTAGTGATAAACACCCATTTTTTTCATGGTCTGTGTGTATAAAAACATCTTCTGTATTTTCCACTGAATGCATCCGATGAAGTGAGCTGTAGCTCACGAAAGCTCATGCTCAAATAAATTGGTTAGTCTCTAAGGTGCCACAAATACTCCTTTTCTTTTTGCGAATACAGACTAACACGGCTGTTACTCTGAAACCTGTTTATACTATTGCAGCGCATTCCCTAGCTACAGTGTGGTATAACTTATAATCATACACACATCCCATAATGCATTAAGTGAATGCTGTGGTATCATAATAGAGCATTTAAAGGGTCAGGAAATGGCAAAGTTAATTTTGCATGCACTACTGCATTTGTACTTTTTATACATACACATTACTATAATATTCAATCACATAGTTAAAAACAAGTCCTCAAATACATTTTCCCTGTACACAAAAATACACGCACATATTGCAATATTTGTTCACTCCTTTATCCTTACTTTCCTTATTTTCATGGTCATGCTACTCTAGCTGCTTTATTGATTTAGGCCTCAGTGCTCCAGAATGCAGGACTGCTTTGTAGCGCTCCTTTGATGCAAAGCAGCCTTAAAGGCAGTGAATCAGCCATTGAGAATGTTGCCTACCTATGGGAATCCTTAGGCTGGTGCAGAGTCACAATAAGCAGTTCCTGTGTTACCCCCTGGCTGCTGCTGCTGTATTCCTGGTTAGGTGGGCCTCAGCTCCAACTGATCCCAGGCTGCTGTAATGGCTTCTGGGGCTATTGGTGTAATATGCTTGAACATGCTCTGGGGACTGGGCTGGTGCCTAGCAGTGCCAGCACTGGGATGTATTAAAGCCATTTTACTCCTCCATGTCTTGTTTAATCTGAGAGCACAGCTTGGCTGATCCAGAGAATCTGGCTCTGACTTTTTATATGGTAAATGCTCTCTTTGCTATGGTGTGTATTTGAGTAACGTTGTCAGCCCCATCTAGTTACAGGGCCTTTCCATAAATTATTTAGCAGATTAGGGGTTGTCTGGGTGGGGCCTTAATTTTGTATGACAGTATTTGTTTCAGTGTTACAAGGAGAGGTAGGTGGATCTTGAAAAATCACCAAAAAAATGTGTTACATAATTTATGGACGCTCCCAAATAAGCAGATGAATCCTGCTTTAAGAGCCTTCCATGTGCTAAGGCAGTTAGTTACAACCCAAAAACTCAGTTGAGCTGGGAACTTTGATGTCATTAAACATACCAGCATTTTCACTGTTACTCTGTGCTGTGGTAGGTGCTCTTCGTTCTTTTTGTTGTCCCACCTAAGCCGTCTGTTGAATCTTGCTAGAGA